CCATGTAATGTGGGTTCATGTTTCCCGAGAAGATCTCCAGGGCCAGGTGCTCAGCAGGCCTGAGATCCTACTCCCTCCTTGTTCTGTTCCTCATCCTCCCATCTGTCAGCTGGGGCAGAGGGAGGGCTTGGGTCCTGCCAGATCATGGCTTTGCCATTTGACCCTTTTCTGTGAGGTCTTCTCTTCTTCCCCAAATATAGGTAGTCAGTTCTACAGTCTTCAGGTCATTTTCAGGTTTAGTTGTATTTGGTATATTTTCATATTTTATGTGAATTTGGGTGGAGGTTCCTGCTTTTCCTTCTTACACTGCCATTTTTTCCCAGATGAGTTATAAGAAATACATATTTGGTCATTGAGATGAACAAATATATATTTCCTAGGTATATTTGGTCTTCATCCACAGTTCCTGAAAACACTGCAAAGTCTTAAAGGTGAAATGGGTCTTTTGTTATGTTAATGAGAGACTTTTGGACCCCACCCAAGGTCAGGGGCTGGAGGTTGTATCAGCCAATGGCCAGTGATTAAGTCAATTATGACTATGCAATGAAGCCATCACAAAAACCCCTAAGGAGAGCATCTCTCTCTCTTTTGGATCCTGCTTTGCTGTAAGAGAGAGCTCCCATGATTGGGAAACCAGAAAGCCTCCATGTACCACCAAGCCAGGACTCAAGCTCCACAAGGACAGAAGCTCCTTTATTTGGGACCTTGCCTTATGTATCTCTTCATCTGGCTGTTAACTTGTATCCTTTACAGTATCCTTTATTAAACTGGTAAACATTAGTGTTTTCCTGAGTTCTGCCCTGGCAAACTAATTGAACCTGAGGGGGAGATTATGGGAACCCCCAAACTGTAGCAGGTAGGTCAGAAGCACAGGTAACAGCCTGGGGCTTGCAACAGGCCTCTGGAATAGGGGGTGGAGGGAAGTCTTGTAGGACAGAGCCCTTAACCTGAGGCATATGGTGCTGCCTCTGGGCAGATAGCGTCAGATTTGAGTTGAGTTCTCAGACACCCTGCTAGTGTTTGAGATTTGCTGTGTGTTATGTGTGAGAAGACCCTCCCAACCCCTGACACACACATTGGAATCAAGTCCAGGAACCCAAACCCAAATGGAGTTATACTATTATGCTGCTGTATATTGCTACTGCAGTATAACACTATTGCTATAGCATACACACACACACACACACACACACACACACACATATATATGAAAAAACATACTCACAATCCTATGAAAATTTCCAAGCATGGACACATAGATATTTGAACAAGGGTGTTTATTGCAGCATTATTTATTATAGTGAAAATTTTTGAATGATATAAATGTCAATAAATAGGTTAGTTGAATAAGTTGTGGCATATCCAAAATACTATGCAGTGACATGCAACTATTAAGAATAAGATAGAACCATGTGCATCACTATGGAACAACCACTAAGACCTGCTCATGGAAAGTTTCATAATTATGCACGAAATGTAATTCATTTGTTTAAAAATCGACATGTATTTCTGTAGGTGTAAATATATAGATTGATATGTGCATTAATGCAGAGAAAGAGGACACAAATAAAAATATGTGTGTTTATAAGGTGTGAGATGAAGATGAACTTTGAATATTACTCTGTTCATGCACATTTGAATCTTTTATAAAAACAATTTATTCCTAATACCTGTACAACAAAAAAAGAGAAAATCAATTTCCAAAAATACATTTCATTTATAATATACAATTTACAACATATGACTCTGTGAAACAATGGTAAATAATATTGCCAACCTTTTATATAATTTATAGTGTGATTTTTTTTTACATTTTATCCAGCTAATATTCATTTAAGATCACTAAGCAACAAGCATGTGTTTGGTACTTAGTAGGCAAAGAAAACACAGTCAACCACCCTCAGAGAGTTCACAGCCTATTTGGAAACAGAAAAAAATAAGTAGTTAAATAAAATATGATGAATGAATGTAGTAGAAGGAAGAGGAAATAGCAAGAAAACATTATTTAATCTATCTAAAACTGATCTATAGCACAAAACCTTTAAAAGAGGAGGTATGAACTCCAAGAAGAAATGGTTACATTGAAACTAAAATGTAGACTTGGAGTTAGCCAGGCAGGGAGTCAGAGAGAGTGCCAGGGAAGAAGGAGAAAAAGGACCATAATGAGAATGTTCCAGGCGGACGGAACTATCATGTGCACAGTTGGTACAGTTGGAATATAAGGTGTAAGAAGTTGAGTAGCCAGAGGTGAGTTTGGAGAGAGAAACCAGGCTCTACTTGTGAATATTCCTCCTAGCCCTGGTAAGGAAGGACGGACTTCATCTTAAGGTCAATAGAAGTAATTAAAGGGTTTTAAAGCAGGAAGTAAAGGTTCAGATTTATATCATATATTTGAAAGATCATGTTAGATGATTGTGGAGAAAGAACTCTAGTGTTACTAGAATGGAGGCAGAAAAATGTATTGGAACACAGTTACAGGCAATAGGGAAAAAGAGAAATGGGTGGACTTGAAAGATTTTTAACACATGGAATTCAATGGGACCTGGTGTCTAGGTGGGTTTGTGAGGACAAGGAGAGGAAAAAAATCCAAAAACATTCCGACTTTCTAAATACCCACCAGTATCTGAACCCACATATCTGCTTTATTACCTAGTAACTTAGATAAATCATAGAGATGATTCTTTTCTTTTCGTAGTTTTAGCTATTCTCTAGAGCTAGCTGAACTATTTTCTTCTTCGAGTAAATTACTTCTTTCTCAATCAATATTATATACTTGTGGTTCATGTGTCTTGGGAAAATGGATTTCTATCCTAGGAATTAAATAAGTTTGTCTATGGTTGGTAACCATGAACCCAAAGCCTACAATGGCAATAAGTAAATATCTACTGATAAAACTGACTGAATGAACCAATCAAAAGACATAGAGTTACAGAATGGATAAAAAAGCAAGACACATCTATGTGCTGCCTACAGAGATTCATTTCAACCCAAAGACATACACAGACTAAAAGTGAAGACATGGAAAAAGATATTTCACACAAACAATAGGGAGAAAAAAGCAGATGTTGCAGTACTTGTATAAAACAAAATAGAGTTCAAAACAAAGAAATTAATAGACAAAGAGGGACATTACATAATGATAAAAGGGTCAGTCCAACAAGAGAATATGACCATTATAAATATCTATGCACCTAACACAGGAACACCTACATATGTGAAACAAATACGAACAGACTTAAAGGGGGAAATAGAATGCAATGCTTTCATTTTAGGAGACTTCAATACACCACTCACTCCAAAAGACAGAGCAACCAGACAGAAAATAAGTAAGGACACAGAGGCACTGAACAACACATTAGAACAGATGGACCTATTAGACATCCATAGAATGCTCCACCCAAAAGCAGCAGGATATACATCCTTCTCAAGTGCACATGGAACATTTTTCAGAATAGACCACATACTAGGCCACAAAAGAGCCTCAGTAAATTCAAAAAGATTGAAATTGTACCAACCAACTTCTAAGATCACAAAGGTATGAAACTATAAATAAGTTGTATGAAGAAAACAAAAAGGCTCACGAACACATGGAGGCTTAACAATATGCTCCTAAATAACCAATGGATCAATGACCAAATAAAACAGATCAAGGAATATATGGAGACAAATGAAAACAGCAGTGCAATGTCAAAACTTCTGTGGGATGCAGTGGAAGCCGTTCTAAAGGGAAAGTATATAATCCAGGCCTTTTAAAAGAAGGAAGAACAATCCAAAATGAAGTCTAAATTCACAATTATTGAAACTGGATAAAGTAGAACAAATGAGGCCCAAAGTTAGTAGAAAGAGGGATGTAATAAAGATCAGAGAAGAAGTAAGTAAAATTGAGAAGAATAAAACAATAGAAAAAATTAATGAAACAGAAGTTGGTTCTATGAGAAAATAAACAAAATAGATAAACCGCTAAACAGACATATCAAGAAAAAAAGAGAATTTACATACATAAACAGACTCAGAACTGAAAAAGGAAAAATCATTATTGACACTACAGAAAGACAAAGAATTATGAGAGAATACTATGAAAAACTGTATGCTAACAAATTGGATAACCTAGAAGAAATGGACAACTTTCTAGAAAAATACAACCTTCCAAGGATAACCACGAAGAAATAGAAAATCTGAACAGACCGATTACCAGCAACGAAATTGAATTGGTAATCAAAAAACTACCTAAGAACAAAACACCTGGACCAGATGGTTTCACTGCTGAATTTTATCAAACATTTAGTGAAGACCTAATACCCATCCTCCTTAAAGTTTTCCAAAAAGTATAACAGGAGAGAATACCTCCAAACATATTCTATGAAGCCAGTATCACTCCAATACCAAAACCAGGCAAAGACACCACAAAAAAAGAAAATTAAAGAGCAATATCCCTGATGAACATAGATGCAAAAATACTCAACAAAATATTAGCAAACCAAATTCAAAAATGCATCAGAAAGATCATCTATCATGATCAAGTAGGATTTATTCCAAGGATGCGAGGATGGTACAACATTCGAAAATCCATCAACATCATTCTCCACATCAATAAAGAGAAGGAAAAAACCACATGATCATCACCAGAGATGCTGAAAAAGCATCTGACAAAATTCAACATCTATTCGTGATTAAAACTCTCAACAAAATGGGTATAGAGGGCAAGTACCTCAACATAATAAAGGCCATATATGACAAACCCACAGCCAACATCATACTTAACAGCAAGAAGCTGAAAGCATTTCCTTTAAGATCAGAAACAATACAAGGATACCTACTCTGTCCACTTTTATTCAACATAGCTCTGGAGGTCCTAGCCATGGCAATCAGACAACACAAAGAAATAAAAGACATCCAGATTGGCAAAGAAGAAGTTAAACTGTTACTGTTTGCAGAGGACATGATATTGTACATAAAAAACCCTAAAGAATCCACTGCAAAAATACTAGATCTAGGGGCAACTCCCTGGGAGGCAGACACGGGCATACCGGCTGGTGCTGGTCACCGAGGGGCAGGCTGTCCCCGTAGGTCTGGGAAGGAGGTCGGTGGCCCCAGCGAGTGCCAGTCAGCTTTAAAAAAAAGGTAAAACTCACTTCTGTCTATACTGAATAGCAAAAAATAAGTGACTTCGGCCACTGCAAATCATGGCACTACCATTCCGGAAGGACTTAGAGAAGTACAAGGACCTGGACGAAGATGAGCTCCTTGGTAATCTGTCAGAAACAGAACTGAAACAACTGGAAACTGTTTTGGATGATCTTGATCCTGAGAATGCCCTTCTGCCTGCAGGGTTCCGGCAGAGGAACCAGACGTCAAAGTCCTCCACGGGGCCATTTGATAGAGAACATCTCCTTTCATATCTGGAGAAGGAAGCATTGGAGCATATGTGCCCTATACTGGAGAAAAGAAAGGGAAAATATTTATCCCTAAACAGAAACCTATACAGACTTTTGCAGAAGAAAATGTATCTCTTGATCCAGAATTAGAAGAAGCTTTGACAAGTGCTTCTGATACAGAACTATGTGACCTCGCAGCTATTCTTGGTATACACAACTTGATAACAAATACACAGTTCTGTAATATAGTGGGAAGTAGTAATGGTGTCAACCAAGAAAATTTTTCAAATGTGGTGAAAGGTGAAAAGATTCTTCCAGTATTTGATGAGCCACCAAATCCAACCAATGTGGAAGAGAGCTTAAAGAGAATTAAAGAAAATGATGTTCATCTTGTTGAAGTTAATTTGAGTAATATAAAGAATATCCCAATTCCAACCCTAAAAGATTTTGCGAAGGCTTTGGAAACCAACACACATGTGAAGTATTTCAGTCTTGCAGCCACCTGGAGCAACGACCCTGTTGCTCTTGCTTTTGCAGATATGCTAAGAGTGAACAAAAATTTGAAGAGCTTAAATATGGAGTCCAACTTTATTACAGGAGTTGGGGTTCTAGCACTGATTGATGCCTTAAGAGATAATGAAACACTGATAGAGCTCAAGACTGACAACCAGAGGCAGCAGTTGGGGACCTTGGAAATGGCCAAGATGCTTGAGGGAAATACAAATATCCTTAAATTTGGCTTTCAGTTTACGCAACAGGGACCCCGAACTAGGGCAGCTAATGCGGTAACAAAAAACAATGACTTAGTTCGCAAGAGACGAGTTGAAGGAGACCACCAATAAGTTAACCAAGATATTATCTTTGGAAGACTTAAGAAGGTCACCAAGGGTCATGATGGTGATATCAAATGTAACATTTTCCTGGGTAGAAGGGAAAAGACTGGAAATTTTTTTTTTAACTACATATATCTTTTTTCTAGTTTAAGTTGTTAACCAGCTTCAAATTGTAAAATCAGTAGGTGTTACTTTGTATTTTAAAGCATTATTTCTACTTTCTGCTAAAATTAGTTTTAATTTAGCTTAATTGAATTGTTTATGATGAGGCTTGGATAGAAAAATACAATTGTAAAAAAGTTTAGGAAGTCATTTTTACAGAACAATATAAACACTTTAAGGACCAATCTTTTTTAAATCAAAAAGGGATATTGCTGTATCAGAATTACTGTTGCACTCTTAGGTACCAAGGCACTTCAAAGCTTTTCTTATTTCGTGACATGGAGACTTTTCCATGTTTTAGAATACATAAACTTGGCAAAGAGTGTGCTTTTTGCTTCTATCAAGAAAGCAAAATGTTAGAATTTTTAAACAGACAACTCAAACTCTGATAATCTGTTTAGAAGAAAAGTAGACCTCTAGGGGAAGGAAGATGGTCACTGAGCACCCCTGGCTGCTGCACTTGTCTTACGTGTTTCAGCCAACGCCTGGAGCTTTTTAAATGAAGTCATCAGCTCGGCTGGGCTGCATACATTTTTAAAGTATAGTTATGTTTATGTCTAAATTCATTACAGGTTTTCATTTTAATAATGGGGTGTTATTTTTGTGAAAACTCATAGTAGAAGCATCTGAATAGGAAAGCTATTTCTTTCCCTATTAAAGGTTTACAGCCAATTCTTGGTTACTTAGGGTTAAAGAAAATAAGCTGTTATTAAACACATGAAATCAAAGATAACTAACATGGAGTTAGAGGAGTATGCAAAGTGGTCATTTAAACTGATGGTTGCTGTAAATTAGGAACTAGCATGCATATAAATTGTGTTGCACAGTATAGTGAAACATTCCTACATGCCAGGCAGTATTTAATCACCATTTGTTAGAAATTTTTTAACCAATAAGGAAAACTGCTGTTCTTCTTAAGTCTTAATCTTGTTTCCTTTCATCATGTACTTCTTTGTCCGTATTGTGTAAAAGTTATTTGTCATAACAAAAGATGTCTTCCTCTCTGAGTATTAAAGTGAACAACTGAGCAGTGTTCTGTGGTGGGAAGGCTGCCTCCAGAACCAGCAGCAGTAGAGGGCTTGGACTTGTATCCCTGCCATCCCTGGGCAGCCCCTGCAGCAGAATATGGCAGAGGCATTCCAGCTACAGAAGATGGGCATGGGCGGGAGGAATCTAAGTGATCCTGGCTCAGAAATTCAGACCTGCCTGTATTCATTTACAGGGAGATTTTTCTAAATGGAGGAATCTCATTTCAGAGTATGGGGAGAGGTCTGTTAGTTTATTGTTAACTTTTTAAAATTGGATTACAAAATATCTGCTCCTTCAGCTTGGGCTGGACGGTTGGTCTAATAAACTAGGCAGCTTCTTGTATACTTTGGCAATAAGCTTTCTTAACAGGCAAAGCTTCCCTTATAAGAACTGGAAGCATTTGCTTTTTTTCAGTTAGTATCCAGTGTTTCAAAGGGGCTGAAGATTGACTTTTCACTGTATTTTTCCATTGTAGTTAATGGGCCACTGATACCCCCCACACCCAAGTTATCAAGCCTCTCCTTCCTCCCTCTCTCTGTTTCTCTCTTCTTTTCATATATACCTTTGGAAGTGTACTTGATTTGAGAGACTGCACTGTTTCCGCAGGGTGCGGGAGTCAGCGTGGAGCAGGTGTGTAAGGCTAGCGATACACTTTCAGCAGGGCCCCCTCACTCGCACTCTCCTCTAAGTCGGTAAATTGTTAATAGTACCCCTTCCTCCCTTAAGTTTTTTTTAATATGGATAGATGGGACCCTACTAAAATTCTGTATCATACTTATGGTAGTATCTTTTTCATATACTTATCAAATTGTGAAGTTGTTTTGCTTGTACCATTCCAGTTTTGAGCTGCAATAATTCATTGTTGTAATTGAAGATTTCTTCATAAATAACTTTAAAGATGAACACATCCAACTGAATAAGAAAAATCTTTCAATAATTGTAATTATAAGGGAGAAATTGATGTTTACTTTGATCTTTAAAATTGTGGCACCTCTCAACCTTTTAGTAATTTTAAGTATGTCTATATTGCTTTGATATTTTATGAGATTAGCTTTGAGAAATAGTCTTGATTTTTAAACCAAAGATTTTCTAAAACCTTTAGGTCTGTAGTCTAAATCAGTTTAAACTTCACCTGGTTATCTAATCAAAGACAATTTTTTCCATTTTTAAATTTCTATTTTTTAAAAGCTTTTAATTTTATAAACTTTATATTCATATTTGTCTGAAGTTCTAATTTTTCCAGTATGTCTACATGCAATTTTATGTATTAAAATAATATTAATAACTAATATTGATATCATTAAAATGGATTTTGGTGCTGTACACTTGTAGCTAAAGCCTAGTAGAAATCTAAAGTATAGGTGAAATACATTTTCTAAGGGTGCCTGTCATTTGAAAGACCAAATAAACATTTTGTGTTTTAACAAATTAGCCATTTATAAGAGATTTTAAGGAGAATTATCTTTTTCATTAAATGGCAAAATCTTGTTATTTGAATGAAATAACCTATATACCTGCTTTGTGTGATAAATGCACTCTGGAAGAGTTACATGTAAATAGAATTCTGTAAATTATTTTCCCTTTGACAGCATATGATGTGTTTTCATTTAAAAAGAGAAGTCCATGGTATAATAAAAATTATGAAAGAAAAATGTTTTGATAAAATGTTAGCCATATTCTATTGCACATTATATTTAACCCTTGCTGCTGTTAAAGTAAGCTTGAAAAGATTCCTGAGGATTCATAAAGTCTTATACTTTTGGTTCTGTGTTTCCAGAGCTGCCTTACTTTTTCCTTATAAAACCAGGAACCACGGTTACCTTTCAGCAGATCTGAGGATCATGCTGTTTCTGCCAACTAAGATTTTCTGCAGTTCAACTGCCTTACAATGCCACTTCACTTTTAAAGAAATTTTTTTCAAGTTTGATTGATATAATTGAATTATACATTGCATTAGTAACTATTAGTTTAAGGTGTAAACATAATGATTAGATGTATGCATATATCATGAAATGATCAATACAATAAGTATATTTATTATCTGTCAAAAAAAATACTAGATCTAATATCTGAAGTCAGCAAAGCTGCAGGATACAAAATTAATACCCAGAAATCTGTTGCATTCCTATACACTAATGATGAACTAGCAGAAAGAGAAATCAGGAAACAATTCCATTCACAATTACATCAAAAAGAATAAAATACCTAGGAATAAATGTAACCAAGAGAGTGAAAGATCTATACTCTGAAAACTACAAGAAACTCATGAGAGAAATTAAAGAAGATACCAATAAATGAAAACAGATCCCATGCTCATGGTTAGGAGGAATTAATATTGTCAAAAAGGCCATCCTGCCTAAAGCCATCTTCAGATTCGATGCAATTCCTATCAAAATACCAACAGCATTCTTCAACAAACTAGAGAAAATAGTTCTAAAATTCATATGGAACCAAAAAAGACTCCAAATAGCCAAAGCAATCCTGAGAAGGAAGAATAAAGCGGGGAGGATCACACTCCCCAACTTCAAGCTCTACTACAAAGCCACAGTAATCAAGACAATTTGGTACTGGTACAAGAACAGACCCATAGACCAATGGGACAGACTAGACAGCCCAGATATAAACCCAAGCATATAGGTCAGTTAATATACAATAAAGGAACCATGGATATACAATAGCGAAATGACAGCCTCTTCAACAACTGGGTTGGCAAAACTAGACAGCTACATGCAAGAGAATTCAACTGGATTATTGTCTAACCCCATACACAAAAGTAAACTCAAAATGGATCATGACCTCAATGTAAGTCATGAAACCATACAACTCTAAGAAGAAAACATAGGCAAAAATCTCTTGAATATGAACACAGCAACTTTTTCCTGAATGCACCTTCTTGGGTAAGAGAAACAAAATAAAATTGAACAAATGGGACTACATCAATCTAAAAAGCTTCTTTACAGCAAAGGACATCATGAGCAGAAGAAAAAGGTATCCTACAGTATGGGAGAATATTTTTGTGAATGACAGATCCGAAAAGGGGTTAACATCCAAAATATATAAAGAACTCACTCGCCTGAACACCCAAAAGGCAAATAACCCTATGAACAGACAATTCTCCAAAGAAGAAATTCAGATGGCCAACAGGCACATGAAAAGATGCTCCACATCACTAATTATCAGGGAAATGCAAATTAAAACCACAATGAGATATCACCTCACACCAGTTAGGATGGCCAACTTAGAAAAGACTAGGAAAAACAAATGCTGGCAAGGATGCAGAGAAAGGGGAACTCTCCTACACTGTTGGTGGGGATGTAAACTAGTTCAACCATTGTGGAAAGCAATATGGAGGTTCCTCAAAAACTAAAAATAGAAATTTTTTTTAGGAATTCCACTCCTAGGAATTTACCCAAAGAAGACACATCTCAGATTCAAAAAGACTATGTTTATTGCAGCACTATTTACAATAGCCAAGATATGGAAGTAACCTAAGTGTCCATCAGTAGATGAATGGATAAAGAAGAAGTGGTACATATACACAATGGAATACTATTCAGCCACAAGAAAGCAACAAATTGTGCCATTTGCAACAACATGGATGGAGCTACAGGGTACTATGCTCGGTGAAATAAGCCAGGAGGAGAAAGACAAGTAACAAATGATTTCCCTCATTTGCTGAGTGTAACAACAAAGCAAAACTGAAGGAACAAAACAGCAACAGACTCACAGACCCCAAGAAGGGACTAGCGGTTACCAAAGGGAAGTGGGTGGAGAGGTGGGTGGGGAGGGTGGAGGAAGGGGATTAAAGGGCATTATGATTAACACACATAATGTAGGGGGGTCACGGGGAAGACAGTGTAGCTCAGAAAAGACAAACAGGGACTCTGTGGCATCTTATTACACTGATTGACAGTGACTGCAATGGGGTAATGGGGGGGACTTGATAATAAGGGTGAATGTAATAACCACATTGTTTTTCTTGTGAAACCTTCATAAGAGTGCATATCAATGATA